TACTAAGGCAAAAATAGGCGTTTAAAGCACCCTAGATTTCTAAATTTTTATCCTCCCTCACGATTTACGAGTTCTTGAAATACCAAGGAGAAAATGAGTTTGTAAAGCGCATTGAATCTCCTTGGATTTCTTTCTTAAGAGATTTAGATACAATCGAATCGAGTAAAACTGATGGGATTAGAAAACACCAACACCATAGCAATTATAAGACAAACACCAAGCAGCTTACCTTAGGTAGGGCGTACTAGGGGTGCTAACACCTTCCCTTTACGCAACCAATCCCTTTCTTTAGAATCTCTGAAAGACTAGTTAGGTTTTCTAGTGACCATAATACTAGGTGGCGACTCCCTTTTACACAAAAATAAAACTAAGAGACCCCGAAATCAATCGACGATCGCCGCGACGCCGCGCTCCGCTCGTGAGGGTGCGACATAGCCTATAAAATAAGGTATTTTTCATACATTTAGACATTTTAGTTTCCAGATCAAGATCATGCTTTTGCTTTCTCTCTTTGTATTTTTGTAATGCTTAATTTTTGCTTTCATTAATATCTTATTTATGTCTTTCATTTCTTTTCCTTTACTTAGTTAACTTTTATGTTATTTATGTTTTCATCTGTCATTATGTTTAACAAAGTTTATAATGTCAAGGTGAAAAGGTTACACTAATGGTGTAAGAATAAGTATAGTGTAAACTCAACTTTGATTTTAATATTTGAGACTAACATGTTTTGTATTTGTTATCTTGTTCACTCTTAATATTTTGCTTGTTAAATGGTTAATCTAGATTTATGTTGTATAACACTTGGTACAAAAAATACTTGGCACTTTCATAGCCCAACCGTATGGTATAACCGACACTTGTGCTATGAAAGGAACTTGATTTGTTATTAATATAAGTTATAATCATGAATACCTAATAATATTTACAAGTACTAGCATTAGTCAAATAAGATAGCCAATGTAATCATGTTAATAATTTATAATCTGATTGAAACCTCCTTTGTGTGTGGTTTCCGATTGAATAACAAGAGCTTATACTATACTTGTTTGAAATACCAGTAATAGATCCTCTAACCTTAACATTTATTGTCATCATTGTTTAATCCTCACATATATCTTTTATCTTAAAGTTATCATCATCATCATCATCATCATCTTCTTCTTCTATTATTATTGTTGTTGTTATTTATAATTTATATAATTAACCTCCATGTGGTGCGACTCTGGTCTTGCTGGGTTATTTATTACTTCGATACTTTTGCACTTGGGAGAAGACATTAATCTTTTGATCGTGTCAATTATAAATCAATTCATAATTTTATTCTATAATGAAAAATTTCACATACAACTAGCATTATTGTAACAATATTAAGCAACAATGTTGTTCCTATAATTGACAAACTTGGTGAACAATTCTTACTTATAAAACTAACATCTTAAAAAGAATAAATATATATATATATAGCAACCTTTGAAAATTGTAATAGCAACTTATCTCCGATCATCATCCTTGACTAGAAAGCAAACTATTCCTGCAAACAACATCTAAAAGGTTATAAATTATTTTAAAATTTTTCATTAAAAATTAAACATTATATCTTAGCTTATGATTACAATAATTAGGTTAGGTTTTTAAAACTTATTAGTGACAAACTATAAAGGCTTGCTATTTTTCTTGGAAACTAAGTGAATTTACTAATGAGGTTATCGCCTTTTCTTTTCTTTATCGATTTTTTCCTTTCCAAATTTTTTATGCATTTTACTTGAATTAAATATATTATATTGCATTCGGAGTTTTATCCTAAATTAGCATAGTAGAAATAATATTTTTCAAACTATAGAAAAACTTTCCCCAACTAGTATAATCACACAATTAAAACATGTGCATCTCACAATTATTTTCGTTCTTTTTATCGAGTGTGTAATAGCCATATTTTTTTTTTTTTTGCATCCAATAAGTATATTACACCCTCTGGACCATCATTTTTTTTTTGTATTTGGTGCATATAATACATGTACTGGATACAAAACAATTGAATGGTTAGCACATGTAATGATAATTATAGTTGTTATGATGATGATGATGATATTATAGATAAAGTTTTTGCTACATTGATAATCAAGTCGGTGAGGAAAATGATATTGGTAATGGTCATAGTGATAATCTAGTGGGTTTTGTTATGATGATAGTTCTATTAGAAAATTATAACAAGATGATGATGAAATATTAATTGTCTTAATAAAAAGATATTAATAAACAGATAGTAGTTACATTGATATGGATCATGATAGTTGATGATAATGAGATGGTAGTGATGATAATTATAATTATAATCATGATGGTGGAATGTTAATAATGATTATAATTGCTATAATGGTAGGGTGGTAGGGTGGTAGTCAAGCAGGGGAGGTAAATAGTATTGATAATGGTGATAGTGATGAGATGGTGGCTTTTGTTGTAACAATAATCATATTGTATTAAATGATTATAATGAGATGGTGATAAAATATTTAATGTAGTAGTAAAAAAAATAGTAGTTATAGTTATATCAACGGTGATGATAGTAAGTGCAATAAACAGAGAAAATATTTTAGTGTTTGTTTTGCAATGATCGGAGAAAAT